TACCTCGTGGTCTACGACCATTCAGCTCCCCTGTGTACTCAGTTTTTACCTATCTGTGGTATGATATTTTATCAGTATGCTCCAGCCATTTCAATCTAATAGCCCTCGTGATGCTATTATGGATAAGATTCAAGGGTAGAGAACAAAGAAGGACATCGCGTTCCTCTAGGTTGGGGGTTGAAGAGTGGGACTGACACTTCCACATTCGTAAAACTTCATATTATCACGAAACAGATGAATAACTAAAAGTATTATTATTATACCTTGGTTCAATTTCACCACATGTTTTAAACCTTTCGTTTTTACACATCTACGCGTGTATTCACATAATAGTGATTTAGTGTTTGTGCCGTGGCCTATTCAGCATCTGTTAGAATGCGATTCATAATTACATAATTTGTATACATCTGCGGAATGTATTTAAAAATTAGCTGATGTTTAAAAAGTGCAGCACAGATTCATATTTCTTGACAACACCGGACATAGTCTACATATAAAACAGATACAAAAGAGAAATGTGAACTATGAATAAGAAACAACCGAGTGTGTGAAAAAAGTGGCGACTGCCAGTTCCTGAAACTACTATCTTCTACATTTCTATCTTTATTAGACGCAATGCTTCATTGCCAAGAATACTCACATGGGGTGAGATCTGGCGAATGACCCCGCTGCGACTGAGCTTTATCGTTCGTTCGGCGTACGATGTATTACCGTCCGGTGTTAACATGGTTAAGTGGTCTGCGACTAACGATCCGACTTGCCCCTTGTGCAAAGCGAAGCAGACTCTTGAGCACGTCCTGTCCGCGTGCAGGAAAGCCCTAGGTTAAGGCCGATATACCTGGCGAAACAACAAGGTGCTAAAAGAATTAGCAGCCGTTGTTGACCAGGCTAGAATGAGGGCTAATGCTAGAGCCAGTTCTACCATCGTCCCCATTCGTTTCCTCAAGGCTGGGCAGATTCAATAAGGTAAGGTCAACCGAAACGCATTCGCTCCATCTGTGCTAGACTCTGCGAGGGACTGGTTACTGGCGGTTGATCTGTTAGGCCATGAAAGGTACCCCGAGTTAATCCGGAAGACCGGCCTGCGACCTGACATAGTTCTCCACTCTGCGGAGAGACGGCAACTCATCCTGATTGAGCTTACCGTCCCGTATGAGTCGCGTATGGACGAGAGTCACACATATAAGCTCGAGAAATATTGTGACTTAGCAGCCGGTCTGAGGAGAGACGAGGCGTACACGGTACGTGTCTTTGCCGTCGAAGTGGGAGCGCGAGGTCTCGTCTCCACTTCATTGTACAATGTGGTTAAAGAACTAGGATTGCGCGGTAATGAACGGAAACGAACACTTTAAAAACTGGGCGAGGCAGCCGAAAGGGCCTCGAGCTGGCTTTGGACGCAACGCAACAACGTAGGGGACGGGCCTCGGTGAGCTGGTCCGGGTTTCTAGTGGAAAAGGGTTTCTCACCCTTTGAAAGTCCATCGTGTCCGAATTGTCTGCCAGTGTTCCTCTGCCCCCTGCTAACAAAAGTCCAACATGTGTCCGGTAAACCAAAAGTAAGCTTGTCGCTCGGTCGTCCAGGCAGGCTGACTGTTCTAATTAGGCTGCCGCAACGACTTCTTATCTCACAATACCTTCTGCGCAACCACCAAGTCGTCTTGTCCCTATCCGAAAGAAAACACCATCCTGTAATCTCGTGCAGCAGGGTACCAGCCCTGAGCTTCATGAACTCAGGTGGGCCCACCTCCGAAAGTGTCTAGGAGAATCGTGGGCCGAAACACTTGTCGACGAGGATAACTTCTACTGATGACTGGTAGATTCCTGCTGTACTTGCTCCCTGTGAGTTTATTCCTATCTTCCATTCTTAGGATATATAAATCAATTGAATATTTTCTACATGGGATGCTTGTGTGGTGGAAACCAACAGGCAGACAGACTGTCTCGTTTTAGACCATTCACTCAGTGGTAAAAGGACGAAAAGAAAGTGAAATTTTACCAATCCACTCTATGTACGAGGGAACAGTGTTGACACACTATTAGATCATCACTGTTTAAAGAGCATCGTTCAACCAGGGTATCTGGGGGACATTTCACACTCAGAGGAAAAGCAAGACGGACATAGAGCCAGACTGTTACTGTTACCATCGGAGTTGAAAGTCTTCCCTGGCTGATGAAGAGGGGGAGGGAGCGCTTATGGTGGAGTCCTAAGTGCTGTATTATCGGTTCTTGAAACTTAATGTACTGTATATACATATATACACATATATGTGTCAGTATGCGTGCTGTAAAGACAGACAGACAGATAGATAGAGAGAGAGAGACAGACAGACAGATAGGGAGATGACTTTGAATACGTAGGTGATCATTTGCGTGTGTGTGCTGCTGAGACAGAGCGAGCTAGAGAGAAAGAAAGAGAGAGAGAGAGACAGACAGACAGACAGAGACAGAGACAGAGATGAATTCTAATACGTAGGTGATCGTGTGTGTGTGTGTGTGTGTGTGTGACGGTGTGTGTGCTGTTGAGACATAGAAAGCCAGGGAGAGCCAGAGAGAGAAATGAGATTGGGAGATGAATTCAAATGCGTAGGCGTTGGTGTGTTTGTATGTGTTGTGTGCAGACGTCTTATACGGACTTACTGCTGTAAGCTGAGGGAAAATGAGCAAATTGCCGTCTCTGATCATCAACCCTTGTGGTGACAGAAACGTATTTGGAACTGTTAACGGCATCTCCAGCATGTCTTCGTCGGTGAGCTATAAAACAATCAAGACAGGACGAATTCATGACTAGTCTTCTGGGTGATTATTTACTAAGCAATCAGAAAACATGTTTAGTTCATGTCCTTCTTTTTCCCTTAGTACGCAGTAATGGCATCTATATTAATGCATTTTGATTAGTGCTATCATTAGGACACTTTGTTGTGAGTACTGGTATGTTTTTTTTTTTTGGGGGGGGATCTTGTGCGGTGACTACAAGCTCCTTGTCTTCCCAGAAAAAAAAGATCCCTAACTAAAAGTATGTTTTTCTTTTGTCAACGTTAACCATTATGCGTCTGCGTCTTTCAGTTACTGCTGTTTCTATTCGTCTACAGCACAGGTGCACTTTGAATGAAATTCCATAATAAATAGCAACGGAGCAACGAAGGCTTTTCGACAGAAGTCAAGAAAAAAAAAAACAGGATGGTGTTTGACAGAAGTCAAAACAGGATGGTGTTTGGCAGAAGTAAACAAGAGGATGGTGTTTGACAGTAGTCAAAAAGAGGATTGTGTTCGACAGAAGTCAAAAAGAGGATTGTGTTCGACAGAAGTAAAAAAAAAAAAAGGATAGTGTTCGATAGAATTCAAAAAGAGGATTGTGCTCGACAGATGTCAAAAAGAGGATTATGTTAGATAGAAGTAAAACAGAGGATTGCGTTTGTCAGAAGTCAAAAAGAGGATTGTGTTCAACAGAAGTCAAAAAGAGGATGGTGTTCGACAAAAGTCACAAAGAGGATTGTGTTCGACAGAAGTCAAAAAGAGGATGGTGTTCGACAGAAGTTAAAAAGAGGATAGTGTTCGACAGAAGTCAAAAAAGAGGATGGCCATAGCTATACAAAGATTAAACAACATTAGCAGGAAAGAGTTAAGCACCAGCAATGAAATAGAAGTCAAAATGATGAAAGCATGTATTTTCCCTGATGTGAGTCGTGGTCTATCTCCCAGCTCTTAGTAAAGGAAATAAGGGCTTTTGACCTGGAATGCTATAGAAAGATTCTGAGAATGTCATGGACGTAGAAGAGAAGAAATACTGACATTTTAACAGATCTGAACTGCAGGGAAGATTTGATAATAAATACATCTTATCTTGCAAGCTGAATATTAAAGTCATTTCAAGCCCTTTGACGAACTTGAGGAAAAAAAATATCAGAAGGCATCGAATCAGAAAGGATGGGCAGGTGCCGACCAACACAAAGATGGGCACCGGATATTAGTGACTCCTATAATACGAAAATGCAAGAAGTTGGAGAGCTGGCGAGAGACAGTTTCTGTTACGCAGACGGATACGAGAGCGACGTTCTGCAAGTGACTTGCTATATGATGATGATGATATACATGGTATTTCGTTTTTTTTTTTTTAAATTAACTCTTTAGTGAGCATTGTATGTTATTTTGAGACTGTGAAACTATCAATTTTTTTTTTTTAATTAAAAAGTATCATTTCTCGTTGATCGTCATCATACTAATTTTGCCTTCTCATGGACAAAGAAGTCACTGACTAACCGGGGACTAATATGTGTGTTTGGAATAAATTGGGGCTCAGTAGAGATAGAGAGGTGAAGAAGCAGATCAAGAAAGCCATAGTTACAGAACTTGGCAGACTGGGCAGGCCTCAGGCATGCAACCATAAAATCCATCGCAACTGACTGCCAAAGGAGAAGAGAGATGATCAGACACTAAACAGACACTGATGACCCAAAGAAACTCAGTTTTATGGGATGATGATGATGAATAAATTGTATTCATGTTTACCGAATGTTCGCCTAAAGCGAGTTGGTGTAAACGAACTTTACAGTTAAGACAAATCAAAAGAAAATATTCTAGTGCTTTGTCCTTTCCCACGTGACACACAGTTTAGCCTGGGACTTAGATTGTTCTTGTTGCTGTTTTCTTCATTTAAAAAGACCGGTCAAAACGCTTTTTTGTATCTCTGCTTGAAATGTCTTTTCTCTTCCTCATCGTTAAGATTCCTAATCGTAACGTCTTCCTCATGTGGAGCTGGAGTCACAATGTGTGAAACATGGGGGGTGGGGGGAGAGATAAGACCCACATCTCTTTTAACAAGCATGTTATACACTGCGACTAAGTGGAGCTATCTGAAATGTATTTGAACGAAAAGAGCAGATAACGCAGCCTTTCTGTAAGCAGCAACGTAAGGTGTCAATCGCTCTTTTAAGGCGAATACTGAAGAAACAAGTGATAATTTGTGTTTGGTCAATTAATTTTCTTGTTAAACGTATATCTCACCTTATCAAAGTAGTTGACATTACTTGTGTACTTTGTCTTCACCAGGATCTTCAGATTGTCTGGGCTGGTGATCTTCAAGATGGTGGCGTTTGTTGTAGAGACTCTGACTGTCAAGAAGAGACATCCTGACTTCTGGATTACCTCGGAGCCGCTCTGATTGACAACTTTAACCAGAAGTCCATAGACACCCCCTTCACCTGAAGCTAAGATTAGGAAACAAAAGAAAATGTGTATACATTGATTGTATAGATATTTTTTTTAATTGTGTTAGATTTAGTAATGTTTCCTATACTGTATACAGAATAACCCACCATTGGCTGTTCTGTTTCTATTGTCTATTAGATTAGGAAACAAAAGAAAATGTGTATACATTGATTGTATAGATATTTTTTTTATTGTGTTAGATTTAGTAATGTTTCCTATACTGTATACAGAATAACCCACCATTGGCTGTTCTGTTTCCATAGTCTATTTACTCCTGACGCTCTAGAAAATTCTATTTCGTTATGTATATGTTAAGCTTCTTTAGAATCACGTTCTGATTTTAAAAAAAAATAATTTCCACAATGAATATGTATATCAACCACGTATTTAAATCGATAATACCGAGATTGCAACTATAATACTTTCAGCATATAGTCGCAATAGCGAACAATAATGACGACTGCACAAAATAAGTCACACGCTCGCTTTTGCAATGAAAAAAAAAAGAAGTGTGGGGAGGGGGGGGGGGGCGAAGCGGGATGAAGAACCTATTTCACAAAATCTGAGCGTGAGTATAGGTCACCATTTTCAGATCTCACATCTTTCCTGTGGCAAATTATTGGTGTGAGTCAAGAGTAGTGTATAAGTCGTTTACGGCGCGTATTTGGACTAAGCCACCTTCTTTATCCTTAGTAAAAGATGGCGGCCAAATGTGCTTGGTCTTTTCGTATGGCTATTCTTTATCCTTAGTAAATATCGATCGGGCAGCCACCCTCTTTATCCTTAGTAAATATCGATCCTGCCAACCAAGATGAGGGGAGGCTCTTCAAATAGAAGAATTATGACACGGTTTGGAGAAAGCCGTAAGGAGTCCGGATCGTTGACGTACCTCCTCTCAGCTAGGAAAACCTCCAGAATTGGCACCTGGAATGTTAGAACTCTCTATGATATAGGAAGAACAATGGAAGTAGCAAAGGAAATGAAACATTATAGAATTAGTATTTTAGGGTTATGTGAAACTAGATGGACTGGGCAGGGAAAAGTATTCTAAATTCAGGAGAAACTATTTTGTTCTCAGGACACACATAGGAAAATTCGCCCAACAGTGAAGGAGTGGCCCTTATGCTATCGAAAGAAGCAGATAGGGCACTAAAGAATGGGAAGCTGTGAGTCACAGAATGATAAGAGCATCTTTTAGAACAGTAAAACAGAAGGTGAACATGTCGGTAATATAGTGTTATGCACCAACAAATGATAAAGATGCATCTGTTAAGGAAGAATTTTACATGCAGCTTCAAAATAATATAAATAATGAAAGAAAGGGCAACTTAAAAATTTTGATGGGTGACTTGAATGCTAAGATAGGATCAGGCAACACAGGTTATGGAGAAATTATGGGGAGACATGGTCTAGGAGTAATGAATGAAAATGGAGAATTGTTCACAAATTTTTGTGCAGGTAACCAGTATGTTATTGGTGGAAGTATTTTTCCCCATAAAAGAATACACAAGGCAACATGGGAATCACCAGACCATAAGACAACTAATCAAATTGACCACATATGCATTAACAAAAAGTTTAGATCATCCCTTTACGATGTTAGGGCTTTCAGAGGTGCCGATGTATTTACTGACCATTTCCTGGTGGTAAGTAAAATCAAGTTGAATCTAAAAAGATATGTAACATCTTATAATCATAGAAACCAATATAATGTAGGTTTTCTCAGAGATGACGAAATTAAGGAACAGTTCTCAGTTACGGTCTCTAATAAGTACCAGGTGTTGCAGCTGTTAGCTGAAGATGTCCACACAGAGGTCTGCTGGGATCAGATCAGAGGAATCTGAATGAATCTTGAGTAGAAGTTCCTGGCAAGAAAGAAAGGAAACATAAAGCATGGATAACACCAGAAACCATTAAACTGATTGAAGATAGGAAAAGTAAAAAGGCAGAACTAAACAATAGCAAAACTAGAGCTGCTAAAGCTAGAGCTCAGGAGAAATATACAGAAGCCAACAAGGAAGTTAGGAGGCATATAACGGCAGATAATGTGAAATATCTAAATGATCTAGCACAAGAAGCGGAGACAGCAGCAGCAAAAGGAAACCCCAGAGAACTTTACAGTAACACAAGAACATTAGTAGGTAAATATAGTCAGCCAACTGGATCAATCAAAAATAGTCAAGGAAAGGTACTTACTAACACTAAAGATCAAATGGACAGATGGGTTGAATATTTTGAAATGCTTCTAAATAGACCAGGCCCATAGGTTCCCCCAGATATCCAGCCTTTAGAAATGGAATTGGATATCAACTTTGAGATACCATCCAAAGAGGAAATTAGAAAAGCTATAAATCTTCTCAAGGAAGGAAAGGCGACAGGCCCAGATGGTATCACAGCTGAAGCCATCAGGACCAACATAAACACATCAACAGAATCGCTACATAGATTATTCAGTAAAGTCTGGGAGACCGAAGATATATCAGCAGACTGGAGAAAATGATATCTTGTGAAACTGCCCAAAAAAGGTGATCTACAGGAGTGTGAAAACTATAGAGGAATTATGTTGCTGTCAGTTCCTGGAAAAATATTAAGTAGAAATATTTTGGAAAGATTAAAAGATGCTATTGATAAAATGCTAAGAGATGAGCAGGCAGGTTTTCGGTCAAACAGATCCTGTACTGACCAGATAGCCACATCACGTATTATAATAGAGCAAAGCACTGAACTGAACTCACCACTTTACATTGGATTTATAGACTATGAAAAAGCATTTGACAGCATTGATAGGGAATCTCTCTGGAAATTGATGGGGTACTATGGAATTCCACAGAAAATTATAAACTTAGTAAAGGCAACATATAAAGACATGAAATGTCGAGTTTTTCATGAAGGAAAGCTAACAGATGCATTTGAAATAAAAACAGGTGTGCGAAAGGGATGTCTTTTGTCGCCTTTCTTTTTTTTTTACTGGCTATTGACTGGACTATGAAAACAGTAACTGCTAACACCAAGAATGGAATTCAGTGGACCCCTACAAAACAGCTTGATGATCTGGACTTCGCTGATGATATTGCTTTTCTGTCCCATTCACGGAATCAGATGCAAGATTCATTAAATATACTTAATGCGAGATCACAGCATCTTGGTCTGAAAATTCATAAAGGAAGGACAGAGATAATGAGAATAAATCAGGCAAATAGTAATGTGGTTTCTCTTAATGGCACCCCACTCCAAGACGTGGAGTCTTACAGTTATTTAGGCAGTAATGTAGATAAAGATGGAGGAACTGATATAGATATTAAAATAGGAATACAAAAGGCAAGAGGGGCTTTCATAGCACTAGGGAATTTGTGGAGGTCAAAAGAAATTAAAAGAAATACTAAACTAAAAATTTGTAATTCTAATGTCAAATCAGTAATATTGTATGGGCGGAAACATGCAGAACAACCAAGGCAATTACTAATCAATTACAGACATGCATTAACTTGTGCCTGCGCAGAATAGAGGGAATAAAATGGTATAATAGAATAACTAATGTAGAACTTTGGGAAAGAACTAAACAGGTTCCAGTGGACCAGGAGGTGAGCAAAAGACGCTTGCGTTGGATAGGGCACACACTAAGAAAGCAGGAGAACAGCATAACTAAAATGTCTTTGCATTGGAACCCACAGGGGCATAGGAATAAAAAAAGGCCAAAAAACACATGGAGAAGAGAGCTGGTGAATGAGGTTAGAAAGATTGGGAGGACATGGGGAGAGCTATATGCAATGGCGAATGATAGAACGACTTAGTGTGAGTTGGTTGAGGCCCTATGTTCCATTGGGGGATAGAAAGGCAGAAGAAGAAATATCGATCGGGTGGCTGATGACGGTACGCGTGACTGGTTTTCCCGGGCGGGGAAAGACATATGGTGCATAAATCTATACTTTGCATTGTCTCTATAGCAACTGGTGACACATTGTTGGTAAGTCGGGGTGTGTTTATTTTTAGGCGGAGCGATTTAAGGAAGGAAAATCGATATTTCTTTAGTGTATATTTGTTCGGGCGGACAAAGCGATACTTTGCAGGCGCATTATTATCTTCATAACTGCAGGTGACAGGTGGCGTTACATAAAGGGCGACGTCAGGACCAATATTTAGGTGAGCAGCGAGGCGGGTGGGGCAGGGGTGATAGGGCGACTAATAGAGTCGGCGCGGGCTTATGGGTTCTGTAATAGACACAATTAGGAATTGTTTGTTAATGGGGGATATATATGTTACAACAAGTTTGGGAATATAAAAAGAGACTTTTAGACGGCAGTGACAGGTGGCAGAGGGGAGCCGTTTTAGGGTTTAGATAAAGAAACCTAAGAAGATGGCTTGATGACTGGGGATATATGAGAAAGGGCGGCTCGTGTGCCAGCATCATCATCTGTGTCATGGGAGCGAAGATCGACCGCTCAAGGATGGTTTGAACAGTAGTAAAAACGAGGACATACGACATAATGATGGGTGTCTGGTAATACTGTTGAGGGCCGAAGAGAAGGGGCATAATTGGCAGACTATCTGACTTTGTAAACAAGTATGCGAAGGTTCTGATTGGTCAGTGGGATTCAGTGGTAATTCTGTTGGAGCAGTCGGGTTAGGAAAACTCGTCAGTTGGTGTCGCTCAACGGGGTACGCCCGCCCGCCCGTACGCACGCTCGCACGCCCGCGGGGTTGTTTAAGGGGATAGATAAAGAAACCTAGGAAGGTGGTTTGATGGAAGAGAGAAAGTGTGGCTTTGGCGCCATAGTCATCCGCGTCGTCGTAAACTGTGGTTTTCTTAGTAACATTAGACCGTTTTAGAAAAGTTTTTATATCGATAAAAGTAGCTGTTTAGAAACAGACAATATCATTATAAGTTATGGACCCGCGGTGGAGACATCCGTTTACCACTCTGAAAGCCGGACCTACCGGTAGCGGTAAAACTGTATTTGTGCCGAAGTTTCTAAAACATCTGAACGCTATGGTCGACCCG